ATAAGAGACAGAGTCATATGGGATCATCATTTCTCATGGGCACTGTTGCTTTAGGTATGTACTGATCAATATACATATAGGCCGAGTTTACAACCTATCGCTATCAAGGCGAGTATTATACCATCAGACCACAGGCATATACATACAAATGTATACATAATTTATTGTTGACTTGTATTTATTCCAGGTGGTGTTATAAATATATTACCAATACTGTACGTAAAAATTGAGCCTATTAAACAACAAGTAAGTTATTGAATATGTCATTTATTTATATATAGTGCTAGCTATTAAACATTTGCGCTAAGTTCCGCCACCTGGATACTGTTGCTAGAGTCTGGGACCTTAATAACGTCAAGCGTACGCAAATATGCATGTTTGTGGGACATGCGATGGCTTATAATAATAGAGTGCTCTTATTGGTATGTTGTTGGCACTCCAGATATGTCCTTTAACTGGAAGAAAAAACTGACCAACCAGAACAGGGCCAGGAATACGCGCGCGCGTCTTTAACAAGCAGACGTGTTATTCCCATGGTTATTCCAGAAACGTACGCGTTTGCAACACTAAAATCTGTTATATCTGTAAAATCTGTATATATTTTGTCTGAGAATCAGCTAAAAACCGGTTAATTTCGATCAATCTCTCATTGAGAGCTAATAACTTGCCTGAGTCTTTTCGAAGTAATATTTTTTCAAGTTACTGCAAACAGTTATATGAGATTTAAGATGCTGCATTTTAAAATAATTATTGACGTTTTTCTTTTTATCACAGGTACGATGTTTCTTCTTTGCATCGTTTGCTGGATTAACAACATGCGCGATTTTTATTATATTGTGGTAAGTTGCTTAAATTTATTGCTATTAGATTAAATTGTTTTGTTTTGTTTTGTTTTTTTTTTTTGTTTCTTTTTTTTTTCTTACCTAGAGTGTTTAATTCTGATTAGAATGATGATGAGAACAATAAGGCACTGATAATAATTATATACATGACGATCGATGATGATGGATGATAATTATGCTATAATTATTCATTTATGGATTTAAAAATTCATGATGGAAATAATACTACAATGATAAGGTCAATGTGTTATCCTTAACAAACAATAAATTATTATTATGCAAGAAATGTATTCATAATTTTTTCTATCTCACTTGTGTCGTTCTAGGGTTGTATCTGTTCTTCATATTGTACCTCAAACCGATGCTCAATGTAGAGAAAACTTTTCACTGACATCTAACAAAAGTGGAACTTTAACAACATCACATCTACTAACAAATATCATCCCACCAGAAGACTGCTACAAATATACATTAAAGAGGTACGAATAGCAAAAGAAAAAAAAAAGTAAACATGTTTTGTTTTCCAGTTCCGACCAACTCTAAATATTGAAAAACTAGAGTCAAATCTTTATAGTAAAATTGTACGTTTTTATTTAAATCCAATGAAAAATTCTTAAACCAACCAAATCATACAACCCACCATCTAAAAAATGTTATCGTTACATTTTAAAATTATATATTGTCTCAAGAACATTAACATTTACAAGAACAGAAACAGCACCAAAAGTGAACTAAATCACTGTCGAGTCCTATTAGATAATATAACTTTGATAATATTATCAAATTGGTATGTGTATTTTCTAACAGGTCGGAAGAAAATGGACAAATTTCTACTGTTCCATTGACTGAGGTAGGTTTCCTGTTTTTGTTTGTACAGTAATACCACTTTTACTGTCTATGGGGATAGAGTGTTTAATCCATCCATCGCTTTTTATGATTAATATGTAACTGATTTTAGTTCAAATTGATACGTTACACACTGTATATGCTGACCACCCTTGATTGTTGGTCTTATAACTTTTACATACCGTATTTTATTCAATGATGTCAGAATAATGATTTCTCGGAGGCAAAGTGGGGGAATCAATGACTAAGTGAACGCTAGTGGGCGCAAGCTCGCAAAAAGGGTGATATGAGGTGAATTTTATCTACCTTAGCTTGATATTTTTTGCTTCGAACATTCTCAATTGAAGGCTACTAGGGGGACGATTTTAACGGGTGCGTGTGAGCCCCCTCCACGCATCCCTAGATATACGCCACTGTTTCGAAAACAGCGAGTAGAAAACAGAAGAAGGATTCTGTTTTAGCAACACACAGGATATTGTAAGTAACTTGTACCGCCGGGGTCTTTGGGCTCATGTCGTTGCATTATCGGTTTTTAAAGTTAATAATGTTAGATTTTCTTATGTTATATTATGATCTTATTTAGCTTAATATAATGATAATTGTGTCATTCTTTTGCAGATTATATTAGACTTTTTTCCAGAATACAGATGGGTTGGACGGATGACCCAAATTTTCATAGCTGTAAGCATAACAGTGTCATATCTTGCATTTGGATCCGCTTTAAAGAGTATGCGTAAGTAATCATTAACATAGTATTTCAACAAACCATAGACAAGTTGTATTGTGCCCTATTATGTAGATACACTCAGTCAATCAATTATAAGCTTTATTACATCAAGGACTTTTAACTGTTACCAGAATAGGAAGCTGGCTGGTTTAAGCACAATCTGCACATGCTCATATAAAACAAAACTTTCCTTAGCCACACTGCGTATCGGCTAGGCGTACAGCAGCTAGGCCTAGCTTATTGCTGCGAAGCAGGCAATTCATATTCTTGACAGAAATTTGACCTCTGAAAGGTCATTGTTTTTCAAAAAACAAGGGCCTAAGACGACTGAAAAGCGGAGTTTCCTTCTTTCGTTCTGCCGGGTAAAATCAATTACTTTAGGCGACGTTTGTAGACTAACCAACACCCGTACCAACGTCCGCATGTCGCGCTAGCCTAATCCTATTCTAGACTAGCTAGGATGGTATAGGCCTGCCTTGAAGGGACGAAGGTCCCAATGAAAAACAACGTCGCTCCTTGATAGCTAACATTGTCTATTTAACATCGCAATAATTCATTATTAGACCTATAGTTGTTTTTTGAATTGTACTCCACAAATCTCAGCCGATACCTCGCAACGTCTCGCATATATTGTCGTGACGTCATGGGCTCGCTGGTTCACACTTGCGATGTCTCGCACTTGTGATCAAATAACACGCTGGCTCGCACTTTGGCAACACTCTTTGGCAGTCAATTCGCCCCTAGAAAACCCGCCCTTGGAAACTTGCCCCATAAAAAAATGTACACTTCCTAGACCATGCAGTCTTCAAAATAAAAATTGTAACCTTTGGTAATCAACTACATTTTCCACATACATAGAAATATTTGAAACTTTATTAAAAAAAAACCTAAACC